GTCAGGGCGGCTAGGATCTGGAACCAACTTCCAAGGGAAGTGGTGCTGGCTCCTACCCTGGGGGTCTTTAAGACAAGGCTAGACGAACACCTTGCTGGGGTTGTTTGACCCCAGTACTTTTTCCTGCCAAGGCAGCGGGTTGGACTTGATGATCTGCTCAGGTCCCTTCCGACCCGACTATGAAACTATGAAATTATGAATGAAACTGCCCAAATTGATGGGCTATATAACTTGTTCACTTGGACTGAGCTCAAGGAAAACACCGAACCCCTTGGATTAAACTCAGAGGAAAGCTATGAGCTGAAACCATGAGTACTTGTTATGCTTATCCATCCTCCTGCTGATTTCCCCTGCCCCCCAACCCCACACAGATGGTGCAGCAGAGCCATCCCGGCCCTACTAGTCCGAGGTCTTCACCCAGTGGAGAGCAGGGTTTCCCCCAGTGGGTGTTTATGAGTCTCTGATATTGTTCCCCTAATTGCTGATGGTCACTCCACTGCCAGATGCTTTGCTCTATACTAGCTTGTCACTTTGATTAATATTTGAGAGGATCTTCTCCTGAATCAAGGCTAATGAGTTAAGTTCAGCCTGGGTCACAATGCAAAGATCTTCGACACATTCAAAGAATGATGGTATAGGAGCCATTCTACTGAGTGGGGAGGATGTTGGTGCAGAAGCAATAAATCTTTAATGGAAGAAAAATGTTCTGCATCCTTGGGTTTGCAACCCAAGCCAATTGCACATAAATTATAAGGAAGAAAAATTGTTTCAGCATTAATAAATTAGAGAAAATGACTCTGATTAATAACTGTTTGGACCATGTAGATCTCTGTCAAAAGTGGATTTGTCACCCTGACTTCTCATAAAGAGTAAAAGAAGATACTTGAGACTCTTCTGCTGGAGATGTAATGGCATTTAGATCTCCATTGGATTTCTAAATGTGGGTGGTTGCACAGAAGATGAAGTATAATATGTGGTTTGTGAAGGAATGATGGAAAGCAGAGCTCTGAAGGGTAAGAAATCCTGTTTGGCCATGGAAAAGACAAGGTGGTCTGCAGGGATACATGTCCTTACACAGCTAATAGACAGTAGTGTCAGGAGACAAAGGGGAAGGAAGGGCTGTAGATTCTTGTTGATTCCCTGCATTAGTTCTCTCTCATTCTTGGACTATCAAAAGTACTAGCAATTGAAGAGATCACACTCTAATTCCACTTTCAGAGACATGTTTAAGTGTTAACTTTTAATGCTGCATTTTTAACAGCTGGACCCTGAAGGGGGTCTAGTTATTTCCAAGGAGATGCTCTCACTGCTAATATAGCATTTTTATAAGGAGATGCTGACCATCTTCCACTGCCACCCTCCCAGCAGACGCTAAGAATCTAATAGGATTCTATACTAATAAGTTGATTTCCATTATAATCACTACAGAAAAAGCACCTCCAGGCTTACTGTTTTCAAATAGCTCTTTCACTTCTCACCTTTACCCTTACCTAGGATATGTCATACAGGAGAACTAGCCTGGGCTCTGACTTGGGTGTTGCCCTGAGTCTCCTAGTGTCTACACATGCATATAAACTCTCACTCAAGTAGAGTGGTGCTTTCAGCCTGGTCAACATGGCATCGCTGAGACTGTGTATGTAGCTGTGTGCTTTAATAAACCACTCAAGTGCTTACAGACCTCCAGTGCCTGTCCCCAGTTCTCTACATGTGCCCAGAATGATGGGTAAGTTCACTGGAAAAAGCATCATGGGGCAGGTCGGCTCTGCAGCAAAAAATAATGTTGAAGTCCCAGCAACCTTTATAGTGCTGGAAATCAACCAATTCTTGTGCACTCAAAGCAGATGGGGGTCTGCTTTC